TTTCTTAATCTACTAGTGTTTATCCTTAAACTTCTCAAAAATAAAAGATGGATTCTATAACATGTACTATTAGAAATTGCTAGGGTGTTTGAATCAAAGAGGGATAAAATTAGGGCAAAAATGATCAAACATATTTTCAATTATAAAGTTTAAGTATACATGTGAGAGTCAACCACTATTCATATGTTATAACAATATGAAATAAGAGCAAACCCAATATTCTCATTTCTTATGAAAGCTCTGCCCCCCAAGAGGCCTCATGAGCCATTGCAACCCTTAATAAAAAATTCTAAAGCATCATCAAATATCATACACAAAGGACCCACACATTTATTTTTGCATATGAATCACTAGCTCTCGAACTTTGCTCATCAATAATAAAAATCACAATCCATATGAGCCATAAATCACACAACGTACTCCATCTGAATCAAAGCCTCAACTATGATACCACGTCACATGGAAAAATGTCCACTATTCTCATCTATTCTGATTTTAGTTGCGGAACTTGTGATAGAAAGCATGCCCAAAGAAAAGACGAACTTGATTCCTCAGCAGAAAAGAGGAGACGGGGCAGGCGAAAGCCGATGATCGAAGGAGAAGAGTGCGGCGTAGGTGAGCTCCCTGTCGACGATTGAAAGCCGAAGGAGAAGGGTGTAGCATCGGCGAGCTCTCTGTCGGCAAACAAAGGCTGAAGGAGAGCACGACGTTGACGAGGGCGACCGAAGGAGAGTTTTAGTGACGATCTTCGGTGACAAATGTCAGAGGGAAGGGGGCATCACGACTCATGCGGAGACGGGATAAGAAGGAGAGCTATTTCCCGTGTTTTTAAAAAAACAAAAATTTTTTGTTGTTTTAAAAATTTTAAAAATAGCAGTGTACAAACATAAAACAAAAAATAAAAAATAAAATAAAAAATATATAGCCAAACACTATTTCTTTGTTTATATCCTGTTTTTTGTTTTTGAAAACAAAAAAATAAGAAGAAGAGTGCGGCGTAGGTGAGCTACCTGTCGGCGATTGAAAGCCGAAGTAGAAGGGTGTAGCATCGGCGAGCTCTCTGTCGACAAACAAAGGCTGAAGGAGAGCACGGGGTTGACGAGGGCGACCGAAGGAGAGTTTTAGTGACGATCTTCGGTGACAAATGTCAGAGGGAAGGGGGCATCACGACTCATGACGGAGACGGGATAGGAAGGAGAGCTATTTCTCGTGTTTTTAAAAAAACAAAAACTTTTTGTTGTTTTAAAAATTTTAAAAATAGCAGTGTACAAACATAAAACAAAAAATAAAAATAAAATAAAAAATATATAGCCAAACACTATTTCTCTGTTTATATCCTTTTTTTTGTTTTTGAAAATAAAAAAATAAGAAACAAAAATTGATTCCAAACAATTCCTTTTCTAATTTTGAATAAACATGCAATAACAACACCAACAAAAATCCCAATAAGTGTGGTCGGCTGCATGAATCTTTTTTCTCTATTGTGTTCAATCGTGTGTCATATTTTCATTAAATTCTAATAAATTATGGTCATTTTTTAGAGCAAGCTCAAGTCTTTTTAGGTCCACCACTACCTTTCTTAACATAAGTCAACCCTAAAACATCAACTCTCCTAACTAGATCATCAGATGGTCAACGTTTAATGTGACCAAACCATCTAAGACAAGTCTCTAAGACAAGTCTCTGTAATTTTTTCTGCCATTGGAGCTACACCAACCATTTCACAGATATATTCATTTTTCATTTTGTTTGTAATTATAAGCCATTCATCCCCCTAAGCATTTTCATCTTGGCAACACTTAACTTTATTTTACGCTTTTCTTTTATAGGGTAGATCTCTTATAAAATTTTCCTTTAAGTCTAAGTAGTACTTTTCTATCACACAATATGCTCAATGGATTCCTCCACTTTAAACATCTAATTTAAAGTCTACTAATAACATCCACATCTATATCACCATCACTATGGACAATAAACCCAATTTATCTAAAATGTTCACTTCTTTTAATGATTTGATCAACCATTGTTACAACTCCGCCACTAAATCTACCACTGCTAAAATTGCATTCTATGTATTTAGTTTTACTCTAAAGTAGACCTCCATAATTCAAGTTTTTCCTGAACTTCCTCTCTAGTTTTATCCACAAGAAGGATATCATCAACGAAAAGCATACACCAAGGTACATCTTCCTATCAATGTCCGGCAAGAGCATCAATAACTAAAGCAAAAAACATATGGACTTCAAGTCAATCTGTGATGTAATTCAACTAAAATAATAAAATATTTGGTCAATCCTCCTTCGGTTTGAATACATGTAACTACTCTAGTTTACATATCTTTAATGACCTGAATGTATGTCATATCAATACCTTTTTTTTTTAGAACTCTCCAAAAAACTTTTCTTTCAATCCTGTCACAAGTTTTTTTCTAAATCAACAAATATCATATATAGATCCTCCTTACTCTCTCTGCACTTCTCCATCAAATCTCTTAATAAATGTATAGCTTACATAGTAAAAAGTTTAATAGAACATCTCACCCACTTATATTGAATATTTTTATTTAAGAAAAATACATTTTGATTTTCATATTTAATACACTTTATTTGAATTAAATATTTCTTTTTCTTTTTTTTAATTTTGTTAGTTTATACACATATTTTTCATTATTTTTAGTATCCAATATATTATAAAGATTACTAAAAGCAGAATTCTTAACATCATAAATTAATCTCTTAGATTCTCTACGAGTCATCGATATTTTTCTCAATTTTCTAAGCATTCACATTTTAACTAATTTTTATAAAAAAACTTATATTTTATGTTTCCTTACACATTTTTATTTAAAATAATTTTCTTTTTGATTCTTCTAGTGCATTTTTTGCTACTTGTTTAATAACGTTTGTTAATTTATCTCACATAACATTAACTTCTTCATGAACATCTCAAATTTGAATATTAATGTTTACTCATAAAAATAATTTTATTTATATCTTTTAGGTTAAGAAAGACAGAGGTAGACCTAGGAAGACTTGGGCTTAATGTATAAAAAATGATCTTAATTTATTAGAACTAAATGAAAATATGACACTAAATAGGATGCAATGGAGAAAAAGGATTCATGTGGCCAACCCTACGTAGTGGAATTAAGGCTTTGTTATTGTTGTTGTTTGTTGTTGTATGTCTTTTAGGTTAAGTCCTTCCATCTAATTCAATTACAATATTTTATTGTATTTTTTATCTTTCAACTATTCATCTTAAATTCTAAAATTAGTAATTGATATTGATTATTTAAATTTTTATTTGGAATGACCATAGAATTTTTATATTCTAGATGATCTATTTTTCTTTTAAGAAAATAATTATTCATTCTTATAAGTGATAATATGATCATCTTCTTTCTTAAATAAAGTTTTAACAATAAGAAAATCATAAGCTAAAGCAAAATGCAATATGACTATACTTTCTTCAATAATCACTCCAAAACCGTCATTACTATGAATATTTCTAAAGTTTTCTATTATTCTATTGACATAGCTATTTAAATCTCCTTCGATAAAATTTTTTTTCTTTAAGAGGTATCATTTGTATTAATTCTTTTATGTCATTCTAATTTTTTTTAATATATTTCTCGGTCTACTTGAGGAGCATAAGCACTTGGAATATTAAGAATCTTAATCTCGACAATAATCTTTAGGGTTATAATTTTATCTTTAATTCTATTAATTTTTATAACATTAAGATTGTATTTTCTCCAAACCATCAGTACCCAGGAATGCTCTAGTATTTAAATAATTATTTAAATGATTCATGTAATGATTTTTGAACTAAAATTTTACACTGTTGTCGATTACCTAATTTTACTCTTCACTTTTTGCTTCTAGGGCTTGAGACCTAACAATGACATTGTTAATTTCGAACAAACATAATCGAGTGTTAATCAAATCGAGTTTAAGTCATTCATCAGTGTTTTGGTTCATTTACAGTTTTGCTCGTCATTTTCTCCACGTTCGATCAATTTGACTTATGAAACACACATAGAGGCCAATGTTAATGTGTTAGCAACTCAAATCTTTTTTTACATTCGATTTGCAGACTAATGTTGACTTACGTATGGTTCTTAGCACTCTCCCTATCGTTGAGAATCTCTTAATCAAGTATCACTCTCTTGTAAAATAGTGGAGACTATGTTGAGCCAAGTAATACCACTTGTTGGAAATTTATTTAATTGATAACTTATTGAAACTGGGGGGAATGTGAATGTATTTACTTTACAATTTCATATTGAGTCTTTGATCCCAATGTAATGCATATGTATTTGTAGTTGAATTTACTTACAAATTGTGAACCAATGATTTTTTTTTTATTGGCCAATGAATCATGGGAAGAAAAAATTTCTAGGATTATCATTTTGTATTCTTTACTCATTTTTATAATAAATAAGAACTATTTTTTTCTTCATTTAAATAAGAAAAAAAAAATATTCCTCCCTCACCAAACGAGTAGTCAAAAACGAAATATTTATCATTTTGATTTCACTTTGTTCTATTCTTCAAATCAAATAGGGTTCTAGTAACACAGTATATTAAAAACTCAACTATTTTCATCTGATGTCGGGTTAATCCATGCTTCATATGCGTATCATAACTCCTGAAGTAAGGTTTGTGACCAATGTGGGTAAAAATAGATGCGCGCATATATATATATATAGATTAGGGCAATTTACATACATAACACAATTTTTATGTAGGTACGTGCCTCACACCTAAACTTTCATATTTACGTAGCATTTTTGTGCTTTAAACCTATGCATGAAAAGGTGTATTTGACTTTTAAAAAGTGATAATAGTGCTATTTTTTGTGTGATATCGCACCTGTGTAAATATGAAAGCTTAGGTGTGAGATATGTAAATACATAAGAACTGTGTGCTATGCATGATAATTCCCCTTTGTTTTAACTTAGATTTGAACTTTTAATTGTTACTTCTGATGGAAAACAGGGAAGGTGATTCTGGAGGCTGCTTTTCTCACAGCTGTGGTTGTTGTCAGCCTCACCCTGTACACCTTCTGGGCAGCAAAGAGAGGCCATGACTTCAGCTTCCTTGGCCCATTCTTGTTTGCTGCAGTTATAATTCTGATGCTGTTTGCTATAATCCAGGTAATGAATCTTCATCACCACCCGATCCATACATACATTCATGACTGCCATTGTCACAGCTGCATTTTTCTCTTTTGCTGCAACTCAGGTATTCTTCCCAATGGGAAAGATCTCAACTATGATCTATGGCGGCCTCGCCTCTCTAATCTTCTGCGGATACATCATCTTCGACACTGATAATCTGATCAAGCGATATGGTTATGATGAATATATTTGGGCTGCTGTGGCGCTATATCTCGACGTCATTAATCTGTTCCTTTCCTTGCTTAATCTGCTCAGAGCTGCTGATGATTGAAGCTGTTGTGGATGTGAGATCATACCAGGCTTGATTTTTCTGGTTCGCTTTACTGCCATTTGATCATATTCTACTATGTTTTATGCCGTTTAATGTGTTTATGTTTTCCCTTTAAATGTAAGGTAGCTTTGTGCTTTTAATGATGTTGTGAATATATAAAGTGGTTTTATAATTTTTTGGGGGGTATTTAAACTGCATACCGCCCAATTTCTATGATTTTACTTGTCAATTACACCTATAATTGCTTGTTATATTTATACCACCCAAATTTTTCATATTTCATAAAAGCAACCGCTATTTTAACTTCTAAAAAGTGAACTACACAAGTTAATGGTCTGAATAGTGACATATATATAAAAATTGAAGTTTGTGTTATATATGTAAATACATAAGAATTGTGTGCTATGTACGCAAATTTTCCTTTTCTTTTTTTTTGGTGGGAAAGTGAGCTGAAGTTCAATATTGGATTGAGTTTTAG